AAGTAGAAAATATAGTGAAGAAAAGGAAAGGAAAAAGACTTCCCATATTCTTTACACACAAATTGATCACATCTCTTCTCTCTTTAAAGTTACAACATGGCTCTCTTCCTCCCATATTCAACCCTTTTTAAACAGCAACACTATAAAATACCAATTCATTTTTTCCATTTTCAACAAAAAGGCCATCAGAGATATCCAGTCTTTTATAAAAGTTCTCGTTGTCTTATCCCTGATCAGAGGTCAATTTCACTATTTCTCAAATTCTGCCATGTTCATGATCAGGTTGTACAGCTCTGTGCCAGAATAAACAACACAATCCAAAGAGACTGAAAATTCCCCATATGTGAAGCCTGTCAGGGGCTTTTAATTGCTACTGAGGAGATGAGTGCCTTTGTACCCCTCAAAATCCTCTTGAATCTTCATATTGTCATCTAAACCAGTCTTTCTCAACCTTACCAACTCTAAGATGGATGGACTTCATCTCTGCTGGCTGGGGAATTCTGGGAGTTGAAGTCCACCCATTTTAAAGTCGCTGAGGTTGAGAAACACTGATCTAAACATTGCTCAATGTCTAGGGAGATTCATCCAGGTCATGGTTGTCCCAAAGGTGCTTTGGGACTGATCTAAACACTTGATTTTTTCCCACAGCTTTGTTGTGTTGTTTGCAAATGCAACAACTATATTTTCTAATCTTTCCTCCAAGTCACTTATAAATATATTGAGTAGTAGAAAACCTAGAAAGGATTCCTGCCCCTCCCTGCTTTACTCGTGGCTCAAACCTACTGCTTAGTCATCGGATCCAGAGTTTTGGCCAGGAATCACGTGGAGCTGGATGGTGCTTTGCTCTCCGTTCTCCCCCCACCTTTTTCGAAAGTGGGGCAGCTTTTGCCTTCTCTGAACCTCTGACGCTCCAGTCTTCCATGCTTCCTCAGATGCCACCAAAAGGTCCTCCAAGACAGCCCCCATGGGTCCCTTTGTGCCTCTTGAATGATCTGCTTTTGGAGCCCTGAGCCCATTTGCAGCAGTCGGGACACCACAACATCCCTTTACTGCCTTTTCTTTACCACTCCCTCCTTTTCTCCACCATCCTACTTTGAGCCCTTTGAATGCAATTCCCCTCCCCCCCAGAGGAGAAGCCGGAAGCTACCTAGGAATTGTGCCCTCTCCCCATCCTGCCTTCCCCTCTTAGCAGCCGCCCACCCCTCCCTCCTGGTTTTACCACCAGCACTTTTATTGCTTTCGGCTTCCCTTGTGAGCTCTGCTCCTTTGGCCCTTCAGGGGCTCCGACTTCCTGCATTAGCCGCTGCCTGACAGGCTTCCTTGGGATTTACACCCGTCTCCTTCTCCCTTTGGCCCAAAGCTCCTTCGGCCTCTTGGGTGGGTCCCTGAGCTGCCTGCCGGTTTCTCCCTCATTGGTCGGCATCTTCGTTTTGAGAGGTTCTCTTGCGCTCCCTTTATCTGAGAAATTCTGTCCATGGGATCCTGCCTGGGATTTCTCTAAGCGTGTTTTTTTTTCCCCTCCTTAGTGTTTTTCCCACAAGGGCAGGGTCTGCCTTTTGTTTGTTTGTTTGCTTGGCCAATCAAGTATTGATCCATTGGTTGAGTAAGGAAGAGGAGTGACTGGCTTGTCATCTGAGCCTGATGTCTTGGGCTAAGAGAGAGGGTCTGGCACAGAGTCACCCAACTGGCTAAGGCAGGACTGGGACGCACCCTCTCCCAGTGTCTAGCTGCGTCCTTGACTGCTAGCTAGGGGTGGGCAACCAGAGCAACTCGACGACCTGTGGACTTCAGCCCCCAGAATTCCTGAGCCAGCACGGCCAGTTGAAGTCCACAAGTCTTAAAGTTGCCAAGCTTGGAGACTCCTGACCTTGAGGAACAGGAGGAAGAGTTGTCAACAAGACAATGGTCAGAGAGAAGAAATCTGAGCCTGGGCCGGGACTGAAACCTGCAAAAGGTCTCAGACAAGACCCTCCTTGGTTCTCTTGAAGATAATGGGAGGGAGGATTGAAAGAAGGGGCTTCAGACTTGCAGGATTCTGTTACTGTGATGTCAGAATAAAAGTAGTCTTAGCCTGCTTGATGCTGGCTTCCTAGTCTGGTCTAATTTGACATCACGGGGCTAAAACAGAGTTGTGAGCATGCAGCTGGTGTCTTCACACATTCCAGGAATTAGAGAACCTAATGTTATCTCTAAGATTTACTCATTTGGTGGCAACACATTATGTGAATCCAACAATTCTGGATTGTTTATCCTTGTAAGCTGCTCAGAGTCACCAAGAGTGAGTTGGGTGGCCGTGTACATTGTCTTAAATTGTATCTCAAGATTCAGAGGGGGACAAGGACCCCTCTCTGAGGCAGCCGCTTTCGGTCTCTTCCAGGGAGGATCCCTGGAGGGTGGCAAAGATGGTGAAGTCCTACCTCCAGCAGCACAACATCCCTCAACGGGAGGTGGTGGACACCACGGGCTTGAACCAGTCCCACCTCTCCCAGCACCTCAACAAGGGCACCCCCATGAAGACCCAGAAGAGAGCCGCCTTGTACACCTGGTACGTTCGCAAGCAGCGAGAGGTGGCCCAGCGTAAGTACAGCAACCGGCAGCAGGTCTCTTCCCAAAGACCCCTCCGTGTAGACCAGGGGCCGGCTGGGACGCTGGGAGGTATCTCTGCTCCAAGATGCCCAGGTTGGGGGCATTCCTCCTCTGAGCAAAGTTTCCTAGCTCAGAGGTGGGAGACGGCGCCCTAGGCAGACCCCCATCTGGGCAGGCTTTCCTCCTTCTGGGGCTGAGGGCTGCTGTGGGCAGAGGGTTGAGGCGGAAGGCTGGGTGGGCCTGGGGGAGGCTCCTGATTCAGGGTCATGAGATGCTCCGAGCCAGTTCTGAGGCTCAAGGGCTCTTTTGTCTTAGCTTCTCATTTCAGCAGAAAATGGCCAGATGTTAGCCACATCTGCTAATGGGTGGGGAGTGTATTATTATTGCCCCCTCCTGGATTGCAAGATGGGCAGAAAATGTTTCTTGTGGAAATGCAGTGACATGCCATCCTCTGGGTCTGAAATCCTGATCCTTGCAAACTTTGGGGGGGGGGATCTGCAAATGTCACTCCGGAAGTCTGTACCCCCCCCCAAAAAAAAAGATGGTGGGGTCAAGACAGAGGAATAGGCAGCAAACCCACCACACTTAGGTTTAATTTGATTGAATTAAATTGTACATATACATGTAATTCATTTTTTTAAGAGCGAATACGGGGACTCCATAAATAATAATAATAAACTTTATTACGGTCTTAGACCAGCAATAGCCATCACTTTTTACAATATATTAAATAATAATAATAATAATAGTAAAAATAGTACTAACATTAATAGTAAATAATAACATCCCTGTTAAGAAAATACATGTTCTCAAAATGTTAGGGTCACTCCCTAGTTTACGTGAGTGGATAGCCGATTAATGTGTGAGTAAATATAATGTTCCAAACATTAT